CAGCGTATCGAAAAATAATTTAAAAATAACATTTCCTACCCTGTAGAAATCTCAATGTAGCAGTCCTTTGCAATCTACTCTCTCAGCCTCAGTTACAGGAAACTCTAACTGTTCCAATAGAAAGACTAGGGACAGACTGACACACACCCCCTCCCCTAGAAAATACAATGCCTCTAGATCTTTAATGAAGAATCCCCAGATATATTCCATTTAACCCTTGCAGTGGGGCTACCCCTGCACTTCAAGGGTTAAGTGCTTGTTTTTGGTCTAGGGATATACATACCCGATCCCGCAGCTTCTTCTCCCCCCGGGCTCTGGCGGTCTAACAACCCGTGACATCATCATGTCTAATACAGGTCCATTAGACATGAAGCCGCAGAGGGACATACCACAGCCAGAGCGGGAGAGAGGTGAGCGGTCGCTGCTGTAGTATCAAGGACAGGGTGAGTGTATCTTCTTGATTTTTGCTCCGAGACCAAAATGAGCAGTTAGCCCTTGCAGTGCTGGGGTAGTCCCACTGCAAGCGGTAATATGAATACATCCTGGGAGGTCTTTTTAACCCTTTGTTAGGACAGACAGTGCTCTATCCTAGTTTACAACTGATATTGAGATCTGCCAGCACAGTGCAGACAGGGTTAATGATCCTAAACTTCACCATCCTCACCCCTCTTGCATTCCAGAGAGCTGAGCAAGCAGCAATTGAGAAACATGTAGCAGATATACAATTTGTGATCCTGTATTTGACAGCTGAAAATAGCAGAGAGGTAGCAGTGACTCACCTCTCTGCTATTTGTTTTGACAGCTTGAGAGCCCGATGTTTAGATACATTTCACTAAAGAGATACAAGAGATACAATGTATATCTTTTGAGTGAAATGCATCAGTTCTGATCGTCTAGGCACGATCAAAGAGCTTTTAGTGAGATCTGAATCTGACTAATCAGTCAGGATCAGTCTCTAAGGTTATTATTAGCTGATCCTAAGTTTGGAGCAGCCCAATAGCCAAAAATGTTTAAAAAAAAGTTTAATTTATCAAGCAGTCATAGTGACTGCTTGATATAAACTGAAAAGAAAAAAAAAAAATTTTTAAATGTTTATTTTTTTTACAAAGTGTAAAAAACATTAAAGTGTAAAACAAAATTAGGAAAATTAAAATGATATATAAATATATTTTTTATACTATAATATAAAAACAATTCTAAAAAAATAATAAAAACTTGTGAAAAAGGTGTTTTCTTCTAGTTTTTTTCCTCATTTTTTCATTTTATTCAAACTAAGTGAGGGGTTAGGTACACATATGTGATATAATTATAAAAAACAATACATAATATGTGTGGGTACATTTAGTAAGAAAGTATATTACTGCTGTGGAAGAATCACACAGCAAAAATGTAAAAAGTGTGTCAGTCATTTATGAACAGAAACTGAAAACTCTCAGTCATGAAGGGGTTAAGGAGATTGAAAATTCAGGTTGTAACTTTAATTGGCCAGCCTCAGCCTCTGTGCTGCCCACACCTTGTTGCAAAGCATCACTTACACACACACACACACACACACACACACAATACTCACTTCCAGCTGCTCGTTTGATAAGCTGAGATGTGGCAATTTCTTTTCCTTTAATATTCGGAGTACGTGGCTGGGGAGCTGAATTTTGCAGCTCGTCTCCTTCTTCTTGTTATCTAATTCAGTCACATTCTCTGCTGCCCCTTTAAAAAGAATAGAGAGTCATTTAAGGGGTGGAGGGAGCTAAAGATCTGTATGCGGCAGTAGAATTCCAGCCAAGACATTTTTTATTGGCTTTGGTTTAGAGTGGTGAAGTGTTAGAGGCCCTGTCAGAGGATCTTATTACTGTCTGTGTCCACAAAGGGGAGATTTCACCTCGCTTCCCATCTCAGAGATAAAGGGAAATATCCTCTCTTAGATGTCACTAGAACATATCTCCATAGGAAGAGTCCCCCCTCACCTCCTGTTCTAGTGACTTCTGCAAGATTTTGGATTTCTCCTCACTTTCTGTTCTTGTGGCATTGGCTGGAGTCCCACTCTAAAAACCATCATGAAAATTAAAGACTGGAAGAAAGTAACTGGTTCTCCGAGCCCTCACCTGAACATTGGGGGCCATCTACGTCATCCTTCTTCATAGCCTCCAGATAGAGATGTAGCAGATCCTTGCACTGACGCTCTTCTTCTCGGCGGTCCAGAAGGCGTTGTAGTGTATCCTTCAGCATTTCCGTCTTTGCGAGTGACGTGGCCATCTCTTTGCTGAGTTCCTTGGTTTCCACATCGATCAGAGACTACAGGAAGTACAGGCACATAAAGATCACCAGCAGCACCAGGGTTACCCTACTCGCAACGATCTGTTACTGCTGGGGCATTTAAAGGACCTGGGCTGCCATGGCGGACCTCCTTCTGAAAATATTATGTGCCCTGGCTAGGACACTGGTTCAGTGACTTCAGGATCTTTAGTGCCCCAGAACTAGAATATAGCCAACAATATAGTCAGAATGCCTACACATTTGTTCTGGATCAGCCACATCATCACTACTGAAGTCAAAGACAACCAAGCAGGCATTTCCAGAAGGTCAGCCATGGGGGGCCTACATTCTTCCCACTGACCCCAAATAAAAGGGGCATTCTTCCCACTGACCCCCAATCTAAGGGGCATTCTTCCCACTGACCCCCAATCTAAGGGGCATTCTTCCCACTGACCCCCAATCTAAGGGGCATTCTTCCCACTGACCACCAATTCAATCAAGCATCACATATGGGCGGTACCTAGGGCCGTCTGTATGCAAATAAAAACTGCCTAAGAACACCCACTCCTCCAGACTGACATCCACCCATCAAGACATTTTGATATTTGCATAACTCCTCCCAAGAAGACCCAGTGATGACATCACAGGGTGTAAATAAAAAGGTATGTGATGGAAACAGAACGTTTTTTTTTTTAATTAAAATGTAATTAGCCTCTTGATGAGGTGGAACCGGGGAGAGCAAAATAAATGCGTATTGAACTCCAGCTTTAGAAAAGTCATGCAAGAAAGAATCTCGTTCTAAGAAAGTGTATAATAAACAGGAAACAAGGAATCTGAAAATCAGGAAATTAATCTTCTGAAATTGTAGTTTCCGAGAGTTAAAACGAAGGGGTTTTTTTTTCTTGCGTGTGGAGATCCTTCTATAGAATGCGTGGAGAAACGTACACGGCTTGTTTCCACAAAGTGAGGAGGGCTCTTAGTCAGCGTTCTACATACCTGAAAGTCCGCCTCTGACAACAGAATGATGTTAGACAGGTTCAATTTTGATATTTGCATAACTCCTCCCAAGAAGACCCAGTGATGACATCACAGGGTGTAAATAAAAAGGTATGTGATGGAAACAGAACGTTTTTTTTTTTAATTAAAATGTAATTAGCCTCTTGATGAGGTGGAACCGGGGAGAGCAAAATAAATGCGTATTGAACTCCAGCTTTAGAAAAGTCATGCAAGAAAGAATCTCGTTCTAAGAAAGTGTATAATAAACAGGAAACAAGGAATCTGAAAATCAGGAAATTAATCTTCTGAAATTGTAGTTTCCGAGAGTTAAAACGAAGGGGTTTTTTTTTCTTGCGTGTGGAGATCCTTCTATAGAATGCGTGGAGAAACGTACACGGCTTGTTTCCACAAAGTGAGGAGGGCTCTTAGTCAGCGTTCTACATACCTGAAAGTCCGCCTCTGACAACAGAATGATGTTAGACAGGTTCTCCCTCAGCTGTGCGGCCAATACCTTCCACCTCGGAGAGTCAGAGCCGTCCGTTTCATCCACCTCTACCGACTCTCGGGCCATCCACGACGTGCCCCCATCTGAAGAAAGGAGGCAACATTCTCAGGATGGTCCTCATAGGATCCCGGAAACAAGGATCCCTTCTCACCCCCTCAATTTACTACATACCTACAGAGGTTCGCGCCCATTTCTTGTTTCCTTGAAGGATTAGGAACTCCGTGTCTTCAGGCAAACAGAGAAAATAGTCCTCGTCTTCCACGATCGTCCCGTCTTCCAACAGGGCCAGAGTGACCGGCTCATTTGCGGGGTCCACATTCAGGACTTTGAAGGCTGAGAAATAAAAGAGTTCTGTTCAATGATCATTATGACATTTTAGAATTGTGTCCCGTAGGACGATAGAGGATATTCATTTCATGGGACAAAAAGTATTACACACACACGGGATACACCGATATATTGGCCGTAAATTGCACTTTTGGCTGAATGCCGAAAGTGCCATTTTCCTGCCGATACATTGGCGCATCCCTGCTTTCTTTCCTCCTCACTGGTCGCTGCTCTGTGTCCCAGCAGGGAGAAGAGAAAGTATGACAGCCGGCCGAGCGCTGCGGTAGGAGAGCGATGTGATTGGCCGGTGTCTCTCCTCCCACACCGCTCAGCCTCCTGTCACAGTCCGGCAGAGCGATGTGTGGGCGGAGACAGGCCGCGCTGTCACATGAGGCTGAGCTCTCCTCCCCGCACGCTCAGCCTCCTGTGACAGCGAGTCAGGAAGGAGAGCGGGTACAAACACTCAGTGATCGCTGAGTGTTTGTACATAACGGAGGACAGAGTATGGTCACTACTACATCCTCAGTTATGAATGAATGGGAAGTGCTCTACATCCCCTCCTGTCCATTCCTGATTGTGGTTATAGTAAACACTCTCTGTCCTCATGTTATGAATGGAGCAGTTGCCCTTGACAACCAATCAGCTTTTCACTTTCATTTTCAAACAAATTGAAGCAAGAATCCGATTGGTTGCCTGTCTGCTCCACTTTCCATGAATCCCCCCCCCTTCAGAATGAACTTTCCTGTCACAAACTGCCCTTGAAATACATTTGCTGGACTTCTGTGTGGTGACTGTAGTGTCAAATTGTGTACACAGGGACCTAGCACAGGCAATGCAGCCAGTCTGACTCTGAATACATCTTCCCCCCAACACCCAATCACTCACCTTTCTCACGCAGCTCCTGCAGGGAGTCAGCGGCCACCCCGTGCTTCGCCGGGCTGCCCCTCACAGTCAGCACACAGCGCTTCATAATCTGCAATGATGCCGCCGAAGAGGAATTGGTCACGTGACGGACAAGCCCCCGGCTGCCACTTCCGCATTCCCAGGCCGCGAAGCATGCCGGGAACTGTAGTTTCCTGAGCCCTGTACTGTATACACCCGTTAACTGCCAGGAGGAAGTTGGCTGAGTGTCTGCGCTCATAGGGGAAGGTGTATATATTATAAATGAGAAGGGAGTTATATATTTTATTATTATACAGTGATGACTCAAACATTCCTATATAGAACTGTGTGAGAAGTTACAGTGTATCACTGGAGGGGCGGGGGCTTAGGCTTCATCATCCAATCAAAATAGCAACTTCGTCCCTGCTCAGTGATTCCCCCGACACCATGTCCCTGTATATTAAAGTGTATCTCAGGACAAAAAAGAATCCTTTATAATCTCTGTACAGCGCCATTTACTGTGCCCTGTATATTGTTAATCAGGAATCCATAGGCTGATCATTGGTCCTCAGCACCCATACATATTGATAACCTGGCTCCCTGTATGATAACTGACTCTCAGCAGCGCTCCCGGATCTGTGCACATGTGAAGGGTTCCCGGCTGCTGCTGCACTGACAGTTCCAGGATCTCTCAGTGCCACCGGAAGTCGGAGCTGGTCACGTGACGCACTCCCTGCCGCCGGCGGTGACAGCTCCAGGCACGTGATCCGGAGGCCTTGCCGGGGTCACAGTCCGGCGCTCGGTGCTCGGGCGCTCCGGCCTGGCTGATGTTGTGTGCTCGGCGGTCGATTGGTGAGGTCTGGGAAAATGGCCTCCTCGGATCGGGTTGAGCCGCCTGTCCAGGTGAGTTCGGGGAGGGGTGCTGAGGCCTCCAGACAGAGAGGAGGGCGGCACCTGAGACCCCAAATGTGTGCCTCATACCTCACTGTACCCTTCATTCAGTGCCTCATACCTCCTCATCAGTCCTGCCCCCTTCACCCAGTGCTTCATACTTCCACCTCAGTATTGCACTCAGTGCCTCATGCCTCCTCCTCAGTACTGCACCGTTCACTCAGTGCCTCATACCTCCTCCTCAGTATTGCACCCTTCACTCAGTGCTTCATACTTCCACCTCAGTATTGCACTCAGTGCCTCATACCTCCTCATCAGTCCTGCCCCCTTCACCCAGTGCCTCACACCTCACTGCACCCTTCACTCAGTGCCTCATACCTCCTCATCAGTCCTGCCCCCTTCACCCAGTGCTTCATACTTCCACCTCAGTATTGCACTCAGTGCCTCATGCCTCCTCCTCAGTACTGCACCGTTCACTCAGTGCCTCATACCTCCTCCTCAGTATTGCAACCAGTGCCTCATACCTCCTCCTCAGTACTGCACCCTTCACTCAGTGCCTCATACCTCCTCCTCAGTACTGCACCGTTCACTCAGTGCCTCATACCTCCTCCTCAGTATTGCAACCAGTGCCTCATACCTCCTCCTCAGTACTGCACCCTTCACTCAGTGCCTCACTGCACTCTTCACTCAGTGCCTCATACCTCCTCCTCAGTACTGCACCCTTCACCCAGTTCCTCATACCTCCTCCTCAGTACTGCACCCTTCACCCGGTGCCTCATACCTCACTGCACCCTTCACCCAGTGCCTCATACCTCCTCAGTACTGCACCCTTCACTCAGTGCCTCATACCACCTCCTCCTCAGTACTGCACCCAGTGCCTCATACCTCACTGCACCCTTCACCCAGTGCCTCATATCTCCTCAGTACTGCACCGTTCACTCAGTGCCTCATACTTTCTCAGTACTGCACCCTTTACTTAGTGCCTCATACCTCACTGCACCCTTCACCCAATGCCTCACTGGACCCTTCACCCAATGCCTCATGCCTCCTCCTCAGTACTGCACCCTTCACTCAGTGCCTCATAGCTCCTCCTCAGTACTGCACCCTTCACCCAGTGCCTCATACCTCCTCCTCAGTACTGCACCCTTCACCCAGTGCCTCATACCTCCTCCTCAGTACTGCACCCTTCACTCAGTGCCTCCTACCTCACTGCCCACTTCACTCAGTACCTCACACCTCACTGCACCCTTCACCCAATGCCTCATACCTCCTCCTCAGTGCTGCACCCTTCACTCAGTGCCTCATACCTCACTGCACCCTTCACTCAGTTCCTCCTCCTCCTAGTTCTGGGCGCCTTGCAGTTTCTCTCTACATTTAGCCCTTCGGGGACCCCCCGGGGCCACGGCAAATGACTCCATGATGGAGGGCCCAGTCACACCATGAAGAGTGCATTCCACAGATTGCACCGGACCACAATGCAGGCACTAATGTGCCGTGCGGGCAGGGGGGCGTGGCTGCGGTGCCAGTGACTTCAATGCACCACCACGCCCCCTCCCGCCCCAAAACAAAGTGAGCCGGCCGGGTTGCGTTCCAGAGGCTGAACGTTCTGGAACGTACTCTGGCCCTGAGAGCGGGTAACGTCCGTGAGACCGGAGCTCTGTACTTATCTTTCCACGAACAGCCCTTCCCCTCCCCCCGGTGCAGCCCTGCGCCATGGATTGTGAATTACACCTGCAAATTGTGAACACTCATTGGTCAGCTCAGTCACATGAGAAGCAGAGGGAGGGGTAGACTGTCAGGTGGGAGGGGTAGACAGGCG